TGGCGTATTTCACGTGGCGACGGGACCCGTCTGGGTACGTAGCGTACGCACCCACGTACCGAGCCGTGGAGCGCGGAACAATGCGCCGCCCGGTGCTACTACTGTGACACCTACTGACCTTGCTGCATGCACACATGCCGCCTGCTCGTGCTCGGCTGGAAGTTGGAACCGGGGACCAGCGGCAACGGTGTGTACGTACGTTCGTTTGCACGGGAAGGCGCCGGACACCGTAGATGCGCATGCATGATGATACGTGGAACATGCCCTCCCCGCTTTTTGGCAAAATTCTTTGGAGGTGTTTGGATTAGAGGCTGGTAACGTAAATGGTAAGGGTATTAGATAACGCTGGTAACAGGGATGTAATGGGAAAAAAAAATCTCTATTTTGTTTGGTTCATGCGAATCGAGTTACGGTGTCTGCTTCAGGGCCGATGGGTCGTCGTGGCCGGTGGCTGAAAAGGAGAGCAGACAAGGGATGGGAAGGAGAGCAACCAACATAGGAGGACGGAGGAGCGAGGAAAGAAGGAGGAGGAGGGACGGAGCCTGTACCGTGTAGTCCGGCGATGAGGGGGAGCTGGTGCGGCAGGGAACGGGGCGGCGGCAATGGCTACCTGGCGGCGGTAGCGCTGGACGAGGTGGATCGATGGAGATGGATAGGGGGCTAGAAGGGGATCTGGAAGGCGCCGGCGCCAGCGCCGGAGTCGAAGGGTACTAGGGAGGCGGCGGGGCAGGTCAAGGACGAGCGGATCGTGGGAGGAGAGGTGCGGTAACGCCAGCGTTTACGGAGGGGTGTGGGTGGTATCGATCTAAAACTGACCTGAAATCGTTTACGGAGGCATCCAATTACGTCGTGCACATACCAAACACTTGTACTCCCTCCGCCCGGAATTACTTGTCGCATAAATGGATGAAAATGGATGTATCTAAAATTAAAATACATCTAGATACATTCATTTTAATGACAAGTATTTCCGGACGGAGGAAGTAACATTTTTCGTTTACCCCGTAAACAGGTAACGGAGGTTTCTCGCCGAAACAAACACCTCCTTGTTTCTAGCACTATGCGTAGCCCTGTACCGTGAACCAACCATGCCCTGTGGCTTTGCAGCTCCAAGCTTTACGCTGCAGCAACCGTAGTACAAAAAGTTGTGTAAGTAGAGTATACTAGAGTGACTACCACTAGCTGCTCATGCTTAGCTTAGATCGAGTAGCGAGTCTAGAGGAGGTTGTTGTGGTGGAGCATCTGTTGTATGCTGGAACTAGTCCATTTGGCGGATTTCGGGCTCGGGCACGTAGCGCGAGCCAAAGGGCACGCTCACACCTCTCGCGCGTCGCCATCACGTGCAGACATTTTCGCGGATAATTGCTAGGCAGGCTGGATGGCATAGCGTAGCGCCACATGCACCAAACGGAATTAACTATCCTGCCGGTGCCGGCCGGCAGGACAAGGATACGGTGCGACGCATGCAATGTGGTCATCCCGTCGAATGTGACCGTTTCATTTCTTATCTGCATGGTCGATCGTCCGCTCAGCTGCCACCTGGAGTTAGTTATAGATCATCTAGAGCCGGACCTATCAAACACGCCTCATACGGTCCGGGCGGGCCGCCCAGTCACTGTCTAGTCATGATTTTTTGACCCATACAGGCCCCTCAAATGCCCGATCTGACCGACTCCCCTTATATCCAGGATCCAGCCTAAACATGGGACGCCCAGGCACGCCCGTCACGTCGGACCCGACAGCCCGGCCCCACTCCAAATTGCACAAAATTCACCCTGAAGACCAGTCGTATCGATTTGCTCTCTCCTCTCTTCTTTCTTCTTCGCGTTGTCCGTCTCGCGCTCCGCCGCCGCGCCGCTCCGCAGCCGTTCTCAGGTTCTCCGTCACGAGCTCCGAAAGAGCGCTCCTGTCATCGCCGCGGGGGGCGTCGTCGCCGGCCCGGACGCCACTGTGGTACGCCCGGCAACTCTCCGGCTCCGCCATGCGCTTGATGTGTTCGACACATTGACCGACCTGAATTATTGTGATTTTGTTAGGTAAATGATGGATTCCGATGCTTCGTCGGACGAGGAGTATGGACCGACGGAGCTTGATCAAATGATTCAAGATGAGTTCTTCGATTCGTCGGATTCGGACCAAGAAGTGGCCATGATCATGATCATGAGCATGCAAGAGGAAATGGACCGACAAGTGAAGCATATTCTCAACTTTAAGGGCTCGATCAAAGGGAGAAGAGTGATCAATCGGAATAGGGTGTCCGGAGCAAAGCTACTGCACAATGACTACTTTGCTCCCACACCTGCTTTCCGGAAGATCCGTGGTTTCGTCGCCGTTTTTGCATGCAGAAAGCATTGTTTTTGCGCATTGTGGAGGGAGTGAAGGCACATGACAACTACTTCAAGCTGAGAGGGGATATCTGCGGCCAACTCTTTTTCTCAGCCAAGAAGAAGTGCACGACTGCTCTGAGGATGCTTGCACTTGGTACTGCTGCAACACCATTGGTGAGATGGTCAAGATGGGGAGAGCATGTGTCTAAAGACTACTATCAATTTTGCTCACGCCGTGATTCAGGTTTTTGGACCTGAGTATCTCAGAGAACCAAATACGCAGGACACGGAGAAGTTGTTGGCTATTGGAGAGGCAAGGGGGTTTTCAGGAATGCTCGCATTGCATGCATTGACAATGGAAAAACTGCCCCAAAGGTCTGGAGGAATGTATCAAGGTCACATCAGAGAGGCCACCATCATAGTAGAAGCGGTGGCATCACGTGACTTATGGATTTGGCATGCTTCCTTTGGAATGATCGGTTCTCACAACGACATCAACGTGCTTCAACGATCTCCGATGTTCAGAAGGTTTTGCAATGGAGAATCACCGCTGTGCAACTACACCGTCAAAGGCCTGGACTACAACATGGGGTATTATCTAGCCGATGTTATCTATTCTCAGTGGGCGGCGTTTGTGAAGACCATATCCGAGCCGCGTGGCAATAAACAGAGCCACTTTGCATCAATGCATGAAGCGGCTAGGAAGGACGTGGAGAGGGCATTTGGTGTGCTTCAAGCTCGTTGGGGAATTGTGCGGAGCGCTGCAATGATGTGGGAATCGAAAACTTTGTGGCAGTGATGACATGTTGTGCTATTCTGCACAATATGATTGTCGAGGATGAGGGTGATGGTGTAGCCCAAACCCATGATTTTAAAGCATCTGAAAAACTAGTTGAAATCCGGAAGATCAAGATGCGGCTCAACTTATGAACTTTCTATAGATGGATCAGAATCTTTGAGATCAGCAGGTACACACGCAGCTACTCAATGATCTTGTGAGCACATGTGGATCCAAATGACAACCAAGGAGGCAATGCTTGAGTTTGACACTTCAAATAAATTTTATGTAAACATTGTGTATGCTTGATACCAATAATTGCTATTTACGTGCGACATTGTATTGTATGACCAGTGTGCATGTATTTGCATGAATTTAAGAGTCCGAATTTGAGATATGTAGACGAACGGAAGAAAATACGAGGACCCGTCCGACGCGTCCGCGGGCGTTTGACGAGTCGCATTTGCCAAGTCCGGCCGCATATGGTCTTAGTTTTTTTTAGACAAGCTGGAGTTAGCAGGGGGCATGGACGGCTCGGTCCAAAACTTAAAATCACAGACAGGATCGCACGGTGGTGGGTGGCCTGCTTCGAGAAAAACACGCACGCGCTCATTTCGGCCATGCCCGCCGCACGTCGCTTTGGGCCCGGACACCGCACCCAACTGCAAGCCAGCCGGCCAGCCGGGCAGGCCGCCCGCACATTTCTCCTCCTGTTTTTTTTTTTACTTTTTTTTTATATACTACTTTCATTTTTGCGGAATATTCTTTATATGTACTACTTAAAAAAACTATTTCTTCCGTCTCGATGTATAAGTCATTCCCGTAGTTCTAGGTTATCGATTTGAGCAAGTATATGTCATGAAAATATATCACTAGATGGAATAAAGGTCTCCCTGCCTAGTCCCCGTTCCGGCGGTGCGCCTAGCATCGTTGGTGGGCGTGTGGAGGTGTGTCTCCGGCAGATCTATCTTTGGTGGATTTGGTCGGATCTCGTCATTGTTCGTCTACGTTCGTGTGTCTTCGGTTTGGATCATTCCGATCTACGTTATTTTTCATCGGCGGCGGTTGCTGTTATGGGGTGCTGGTCCTATGGGGCCTTAGCACGACGACTTCCCGACTGTCTACTACAACAAGTTGTGTCCGGCTCCGGCAGTGGAGGGGCGATGACGGCGGCGCACCTTCGGCTCGCCTCGGTGCTTGTAGTCGTCGCTAGGTGGTCTACGAATCTGAATGTAATTTTTATTTTTGGTATTCGTTGTACTGCCATGATTGAAAATGAATAGATTGAAAGTTTGTTTGAAAAAAATATTTTTTTATCACATATAATACATATTTAGATAGTTGAATTGTTGATCTAAAATTACGCGAATGACTTATACACGTACCATACCAGATTCGAATTATTCAATTATTATCGGAATTCCCCTCGCCTGGCGGGCGCACGGGACGCAGCGCGAAAATCAAAGCCCGCAGTAATTCCCTCCCCCCCTCCCCTCCTCGCTCGCAGCTGCCCAAAAAGCTCCCTCCTCCTCTGCGCTGCGCCTCCGCGTGATTTCTTTAATCCGCCTCCTCCCTCGCTCCTCGCCACTACTACTCCACTCCTCCCCCCCGTGACCCCCTCCCCTCCCCTCTCCTCGCCCCGTCCCCACCCCCGCCTC